CTGCACGGTATATCGAACTTATCGAAATATCGCAAATGTAAATATCGCAATATGCATATCGCAATGGCGTGCGATATCTGAATCATTTTAATAATAGGCTACTTAAATCAAAACGTTGCAAAAAGTCAATTAGTTCAACGCATATAGCAGAGAATTGCTTGATGTTAAAAAGAGTTATGAAGTTGTATGTTCACACTGATGTTAAAATGTCATTTTCTGATTTGTGACATTACTTTTTATGTAATGCTAAAACACTGCTGGTCACTTTCAGAAGTTATAGTGATTCTTTCTTTTCCAAGAAAGAATGTGAAACAAATTATATAATTTTAATTTTTTAATATTTTAAAATATAATTGAAATTGATTTTACACACTTTAAGCAATATCGTATCGCATATCAAATATTTAATTTTTTAACAAGGTATCGCATTTTTCTTCAATATCGCACAGCCCTATCTAAGTCTTTGAATCTCACTTACAAAATGAAAAAAAAAATTCTTTATTCAATTTATATTTATTCAAGCAATTTTGGTCATTTGAGCAGAATAAAATTAAACTATTACATTTTCAATAGCCACATTTCCCCAAAACATCTACTGTATTTACGCAAAGCTTGATCATATTCTAAATTAGAAAATCGTTATAATATCAGCCAAAGACAAATTAGAAGAAACCATTTATGATTAATTCACCACTCACCTGTATTTTTTGAGTTTTTCATCCTTTTGTCAAATAACAGCCACATAGGCTGTTCACAAGAAACAGATTTGTTGAACGAAAGGATGTTGCGCATATCTCACAAAAACAATGAATGAATCACTCTCCGAGGCAACTCGTTACTCCCGTGTCATATAAAAGAGTTGTTTAAAATGAGCAAATCTTTCATGAGTGACACATACCTAATTAATACAAATCTTAGAGACCATTGAATGAGAGCAGCAAGAGACTAGCATGTGTAAGAATAAGTCCGTAAGGCGTGGGAAGTTGTTATATAATCCAATTATTGCAGTTTTAATTCTGTGTTTGTGTTCCCCATGTGCTTTGATGCATGATCAAATAATCTAGTGAGAAGTATGGACAGAAGAACTTTACTGTGTTAATGCATTAACTTTGACTAACACATTCTTTTCATCTTTAATTGAGGACTTGTGCATCTGGGTCTGTTTGCCTGGAGAGGGAAGAAAGAAATGCAATTTTGGGTTAGTTCGAGCTTGTAATTTGAATGTGCCAGTCAGCGTGGAACACAGTCTCTGTTTCAAGCTTCAACTTAATGCCATGCAGTTCACTGTCTGTCCCCATGTATGTACACTGTTTGGTCTGTCCGCTCAGTAACAATAGCCAGTTCATGGTAAAGTCTCACTATTGGGGTTTTCCTCTGACATCACCTCCACTGTTTTGGCTCACTCCCCATTTCCTGTTCACACAGGAAGTCTCTGCGTAGTCTTCCGCTAGGTTGTGCCCATGGCAGGAAATGCTGATGGGCACACCTGGTCCGCATCCCTCTCTCTTTCTGTCACACAATATCAATGTGTTATAACATTATAGAGTATGAATTTTATCTTTGTGGTACTTTCATTAAACTCAAGTTAATCACCTTTATTTCTATAGCACGCCCCCACATATCTATGTCAATATGTGGAAATATTAGCATAATGCTGCCCAAATGTACACGCAAAGAAAGAAGGCGTGGTTTCAGGAATGTACTGCATCATCACTGTGTCTGTCACGCGACTCTGTTGCCCTTTCGGGCTTGAACTGATGGTAAAATTAACGACATTATTAACTGTCTTGATATTTACTTTGAAAGCTTGAAGCTCTCGATTATGGTAAGGGGCGTTACATTTCCGTATTATAGAGTATGAATTTTATCTTTGTGGTACTTTCATTAAACTCAAGTTAATCACCTTTATTTCTATAGCACTTTATACAATACAGATTGTGTCAAAGCAGCTTCACAAAGATAAACAGGAAAGCATCAAATTAAATTATGCAAACTTAAAGGGGTCATATGATGCGATTTCAAGTTTTCCTTTCTCTTTGGAGTGTTACAAGCTCTTGGTGCATAAAGAAGATCTGTAAAGTTACACTCTAAAAAATGCTGGGTTAAATTTTATTCAGCACTGGGTTGAAATTAACCCAGCATTTTTTAGAGTGTAAAGTCTCAAATCCAAAGAGATATTCTTTATAAAAGTTAAGAGTTAGCCACGCCTACCTAAAACGGCTCGTTCTAACACGCCCCCACATATCTATGTCAATATGTGGAAATTATTTTGAAAGATGAAGCTCGCGTTTATGGTAAGGGGCGTTACATTTCCGACGCGTGCTTGTTGTGTTCGGCCAATCACAATGCACTGGTTCAGCTGGCCAATCAGAGCAGACTGTGCTTGTCAAAGGAGGGGGCTTTGTTGAAAACGACGTGTTTGAGAGAGGCGGGGCATAGAGGACCTACAATAATGTACAGTATTTGAAAAATAATGTGTTTTTTGAACATTAAAGCATGTCAACATATTCTGTTACACCAAATACACAAAATAATGATCTTTAAAATAGCATCATATGACCCCTTTAACTATGGAGACAGCTCTAAAAGTCAATAGTGTCATTATTTAGCTCAAGTCAGTTCAATGTTGGTTTAGATCAATAACAGTGTGAAGTTTATCGTTTTGAAATTAGTTCAATTGAGCTATAAGCAGTTCTACAAATGGTGGAAATACTGATGAACTTTTGTACTTTTTTGTAAATGTATCTTGATCTTCCATAAACAGGATACTGTAGATATTATGCATGCCAAAATAAACTTTAAAAAACCTGATGCACACGTGTCAACCTTTCAAAACAGCCAAGTCATTTTCCTATCAAGCAGGAACCCAGGCCATCTGATACATGGGTAGTGATTTCATAGCTTTGTACCACTTAGTTGAATCGAGCATTCAAAATACGGAACTATGGCAATGGGCGAAGATTTATTTTGTCCCAATTCTAAGCTAGCAAACACTCTCTCACAAGCAACAGTGTGTAACACACACTCTGCAACAGTGTGTCACAGCTACATTTGTAAAACATCAATGCAAATACAAATGCATATGACTTTCTGGTAGTGATGCACCAAAATTTTGGCAACTGAAAATATTTGAATAGTTTTGGAAGGACCAAAACGGTGATGTTTACTAACCTTTCTTTGACGTGTTCTGTCTGTTTCATGCACATAACGAGAATAAACTACAACAGGTAAAAATGTCAGTAGTGTGGATGGACCAAAAATAATGATGAAGTAGCAATAAGTCAAATTTGTTCCGCTGAAATGACAGCTGGTTGTCGAAGAACTTTACTACGACTGGTTTAATTTATCATCTGAGAGCACGATATACCCTGGACCTGAATGGCAGTAAGAGTTCAGTTACCCAAATGTATTATGGAAATATGATTTTCGGTTTTGGTTTTCGGAAATAAAAGTGTGAATTCTGGTTTCTTTAAAAAAAATCATTTTGGTGCATCACTGCTTTCTGGGATTTTAAAACAGATAATAACTGAATAAATTTTGTGACGAGTGAGCATTCACATCACTATGAGCAAGTTGCTTTTGTTTTATTAAACAGAGTTAAAACTGTATGCTTCTCATGTGTTTGACACTAAGGCTTCTTACTGATTTTGTTACCATGGTAACTGAAGTCACATGATCAGGGGGTTTTTAATACTGACTCACTGTCCAAACACTCCCACACCTTCCTTAATTTTTAACAACTTTTTAAAGACAATATTTAATCGGAGCTGTTTTTCAGCACCGTTGGTGGAATGTGTTGTTCAGTATGTCTAACACTCACCAGTATGAGTCACACCCCCAGTGTCTAAAAAAAGATCTAATAAGGGAATCTTCTGCAAAAACACCACATGGTCTGCAAGTCGGTGAGCCACGGCTTTGTCATGTGCCACACATGGAGAGTCTCGCTGCCATGTGGACAGACGGTCGGCACAGTTGTGCCTCAGTGTGCAGCTGTGATCTGCTTCGCTCAATAAGACACACCCCTTTTAATACGCTTTACTTTTGTCTATCATCAGTTGAGGCGTGTGTGTGTGTACGGCAAGGTTTTGAGGGCCTATAACATATTGTGTGTTACAACTTTCTTGATTAAGAGGAAAGAGCACAAGTGAGTCCTCACACTTTTTGTTATTCGCTTTGAAAGGGATTATATAGGTTATGAGTCATTGTTGTCTGGGAAAATATTTGTTTGTTCAAAATGCCTGTTTGGTTTTAATTAAAGTAACCCTCTTCCTCTTTATCCCTTTTGTGGAATAAGTGGCATGTGGTGGACTATTGAAATGAGGCAAATCCCCCGCTCTGGGTTTGAGGTTTTTCATTCCAATTTAAATTCAGGTTCCAGTTCCTTTTGATGTGTGTACACGTTATCAGAGTTAGTCTTTTGAAACGCAGTTTTCTTTACAATTGGGACTATCAACCAGTACTTTAATATTTATAATATAATAATATTAACATATTTATTGAAACTAAGTCATCTCAAATTCCCAGTTTATATGGAAAAAAGTGTATTTTGTGTAGCTTTTATAATATTTATTGCTTCTGGCTGTTGATTACCTATTATGCATAGACCAGTGGTTTGATTGCTGTATACATTATTCAGTTTCATGTGTGTTTATTGTGATTTGTCTTGTCCAATTTTTTGGTGGTGGTAATAAAGCAGTATACCTAAACTTTGTGTATAGTACATTAGTCTCACCCTGCTTTTAAACCCTCAGCATTTCAGTCAATATGATGACATAGCAGCTGCATTCTACACTCTAAAAAATGCTGCACTTTGAGTCAAATATGGACTAACCCAGCTGTTGGGTTACATTTTTTAATTACATTTTTAACCCAAAAGTTGGGTTAGTCCATATTTGACTCAAAGTTGGGTTGAAACAAGTGTACTCCTCACTCACTAGTGTTTACATCTTCTGATCTGATGCACAAACAAGCTTATATTCCCTCTCTCCTTCCTTTTACAGGCACAAGTTAACCTCTATTTGTACATTTTGAACTGACTGAAGCAGAAAAAAACACTATACCAAAGGTAGGCTATTCTTTTTCTTCCAGACAGTAACTCTCAAGGTGTGTTACAGACATTGTTTGGGAATGCTGGTGTGCCTTCTTGTGATATGCTTTTTTGTCTACATGCACAATAATAATGTGAAATAATCAAATATTGCACAACAATAGTGAGCTTGACAGAAAGGAAAATGTTCTGAGGCAACTGAAATGTCTCGTTAAACATTTGCATGGCAGATAATGTCTGCAGGAAGCTAGGTGACTGTTTTTTGTTTTTTTTTCTGCCGCCTTTTTATCCCCAAGCTAACAGGAAAAATGTCTCGACAAAGATGTCCATTGTGTACAATATGTGTTTTCAGAGGAACTGTTGGAAGTGCAGAAATGTCTGAGAAGAAGAAAGGAAGTGAGGGTGGAAAGAATGATGGAGGATTGGGAGACACAGTGGGTGAAGGTTTAGCATTCTGACACCACAGCTAGATTTTTGAGAATAATGCCAGGAATGAGTGCAGCCATTTGAAGCCCTGGAGGATCTAGACAGCTCAGTGTTTAACATGGTGAATGAACTGGAATGTCTCTGGAAATTAGTTCGGAGTGTTTGTGTGTGTATGTGTGCCTTTACTGTAACGATTCATTTTCTCAGCTGCTAAAATGTGACCATGCCCTCTCTGAAGACTGAACTCCGGTCTTGACCCACTTAGAACTGACAGAGAGTGGATCCAAGTAGGAAGTACACATTTACACTTGCATTAGACTTACACCTGTGCTTACAACTTTAACAAAATGAGTTAAGATAAAGACTAATTTTCAAATGTACAATTTTAATTTTTTTAATGTCAGGGACATGATGCCTTTCCTTTTTTCTCTTTGAATAAACGTTTTTTTATTCAAAATCACACAAAAAATGCAATTCGTAGCGACTTGGATTTACCTCTTCTATGATGAGCATGTTTTTAATTTCTGAATGAAACAAAAAAAATACTTTTTCTATTGTTGCACATTTTTTGCCTCAAGTTATTTATTTATTTATTTATTTGTAAATGTCAATAAAATCAAGTAATTTAGTGCGACCAATAAACCTAAAATATCAAAGAATTTGAACATTTATTTTTACTAAGTTTTTATGACAACTAACCAATACAATTTTTTTTTTTTTTTTACCTTTATTTATGTAGCGCTTCATACAATGCTGATTGTGTCAAAGCAGCTTCACAGTGTCAAACAGGAAAATTGTTTGTCAATGATGCAAGAGGACAATAACGGAGTCATTTTTCCAGCTAAAGTCAGTTCAGTGATGTCATCATCCAGTTCAGCTCTCTTCCAATAGTGTCTGTGCAATCAGTCAAGCGTCCCCAACTAAAAAAGCCAAAGGCGACAGTGGCAAGGAACCAAAACTCCATCGGTGACTGAAATTGAGAAAAAACCTTGGGAGAAACCAGGCTCAGTTGGGGGGCCAGTTCTCCTCTGGCCAGATGAAACCAGCATGGCGTGGTTTAATTCCAGGCTGCAACACAGGTGCAGTGGACTCGTCTGGTTCCTGGGGTCTTGTGCCGATGGTCGTTGAGGTGACGAGGTCTTCGCAGGGGATCTGTCTCTGGGGCACATCTAGTTGACATGGTCTCTTCTGACATTCAGGGCTGTAGAGGTCGTAGGTGCTGATCCATCATATGGTCTGGATATGGACTGGATCCGTATGGCTACGGTGACCTCGGAATAAGAATGAAAGAGAATAATATTAGAGTAGATGCCATTCTACTTATGATGTAACAAGTACATTGGGTGTTAAGTGGGAAGTGTTCCCGGTTCCGGTTGACCTAATTAATGCAGCCTAACAATCCTTTAATGGATTTGAATTATAGAAATGCGATAGTGTATTATGTGTATTAGGGTGGGGCGGTATATCGAGTTTGTATGATATATCGATATTTTCTTTATAAGCGATACGATATGAGGCAATACCGTTTATATCGATATACAGTAGTTTGATACGAGCGCATCTGAAGATATAGCGGAGGACACAGACAGCTGCTGTGGAGAAAGTGCATAATCCAGTTTGTTCCAAACATGTGACAAGCTTTATATTAAGGCCTTTAAAAACTGGTAAGACATAGTTTATGGTTTCGTTTCGCATATTAGTTTAAGCGGCTCGGCCCGTCATATGCTCTGACTGAAAGGCTGCTTGTGCCCCTGACAGAGACACTCGGCTACTCGCGCTATCTCCGCTAAACTTCACACAGACTTCAGTGAACGAGCGCCGCACATGCGCGCCAAACAGACGGAGCTCAATTAAATAGGAGCACAATAATTCTGACTAAAATATACATTTCTCTGAAATATTTGTAGTTGGACAATAAATGTAACGTAGAATTTTAAACCTACAAGTAAGTCTATTTTTATGATAGCACTGACTGTAAAGTGAATAATGGGGTAATCAATATAGCCGAACACAACTCTGCTTTTGTTCTCATTTATTTTCATTTTTAGTTTAGTGAATTTAACTTCCGCTTTAATATATTAAATATATATTAAATACAGATTTTTTTAAAAATCCAAACACAAAAATGAAAATACCGAGATATATACCGTATATCGCAAATCGGCCAAAAAATACAG